AATAATTTTATGTACCTGGGATTATAATTCTCTAAAGGACTATTTTGGACCCAATTGCTTTATCCTGTCCTTAATGAAAATTCCTCAATTAAGCACCCTGTACCACCAAAAAAAAAAGTCACAAGACCTCTCTCCAGAGTGAGCCTGGAGCAGGTGAAAAGCTGTGTTTGTCAAATCAGACAGCCAGCTACACGTTGCGTTTATACCACCGATGGTCGCTGGGGGATGTTGTTTCCTGATGGGGTTTGAGTCTAGATGCTCAGGCATATGCAGTCTGCAGCTGTTCATCATCACACAGAGCTCATAAAACAACTGGATTGGCCATTTACAGAAATAGGAAATCTTTCCAAATTTATATGATGTACTGCACTTTGTAATGTGTGTGTATATATCTATCTATATATAATTTTTTTAATCATTCTTCTGAGAAAAAAGCAGAGGTACGGCCCTAAACCTTTGTGATGCGTATCTGTAAAACTTCCTAGTAGGACTCAGTGTTCTCTCTGTAGGACTGTCTGAAATCCTATGATCCACACGTTAATCATGACAAAAATAGGAAAAAATAACCCCTAACAACTTCAGAGGTAAAATTAACATTTCCAACTCCCCAGCCTGATTATTATCTTCCATCTTCCCTAGAACTGACATTTTATACCTGTTCTCACATTTCTAATTTCATAACTGGTTTTTAATTACTTTCAATTTGAGTATCGAATGCCTTCAATACTCAACCCTTAGCTGTCTTCTCACCTGCAGCACCAGCATGAGAAGCTCTGCACAATATCTTGTGAGCAAGATCAATTAAACAACATTTTTCTTTTCTGCTTGGCTTTATCCCTATTCTAATCTACTTACTAAATTCTCTTCCATGAAGCTCATGCACAAATCCCACCGACAAGCATGTGTGAAGGACCAGGCTAAAAGCACACGGAGAGGAGGATGGAGAGTAGTCTTCCCCAGGGATGAAGAGCTCGTTTGCACGGACACGCTAACAGCGGCTGCCATCTGCCGGCTAGAAAAAAAAATAAAATTTAAAAAATCATCCCTCAAAGCAACCTCTTGATCCGAATGCAAACTTTGACATACTCTTTTTGGCCCGCTGGAGCAAACGTGTCTGCTCTCGGCTTCCTCGGACACACCACGCTGTGCAAGGACTCGCTCCTGCGCCGAGCACACAGCGCAAGAGGCGAAGCTGCAAGGCTGCAGAGCAGAGCCAGCCCCGACTCGCTCACATGGGAGAAATATGAGCGCTGGGTGGATTCTAGGGTACCGTCAACATCTTCTGTTGTAGCTCATAGGACACTTGAAAGATCCAAACCTGAGCCTACAGTGGAAGAAAAACTAGCTGCCCAGCTAATTTTCCCTTATTGGAAGAGTTTCCAGGCAACTGAAAGACGGAAAGTGGCACTCTGAAAAGGGATGGGTGAAATACCATGAACAGATCTTGAAAAGCAGCATGCACAAACCCTATTTATGTATCACCTCCCCTAGCTACTACCCCTACCAACTCACAAGATACCATGGCAGCATAAACCTCTCTGCTTCATCATCCTCTGTCCCTTCTCTCCTTCCACAAGTTCGTAAGTAAAAAATTAAAGTTATTAATTTAAATTTAAATAAATTAAAAATATTAAATGTAAATAAAAACTTTCTGCATTACCTTCACCCAGAGGCAGGCTCATCTGAAACCTTTTAAGATTTTCCTAATTGCAGCCTTTATGTCAACTACCATGTATTAATTCATATGTAAATAAAAAACAATAGGCTCTGAAATAAAAAAAAAAAGAAAAAGGGGGAGGGGGGGGAACTGTGACAAGAATGGTGCAG